AAAGCCTAAGTAAGTGTAATAGCGGATTCAGCCTTTTGGTCTCACTTGTCTCTAAGTCAAAATGCTGACAATGGCCAGGCGTGGTAGTGCACGCCTTTAATCCCAGCACTCGGGAGGCAGAGGCAGGTGGATCTCTGTGAGTTCAAGGCCAGCCTGGTCTACATAGGGAGTTCCAGGACGGCTGAGGCTACAGGGAGACCCTATCTCAAAAAGACAAAAAAAAAAAAATGCTGACAATGAAGCAGAATGGATGATGTGCATGAAATGGATTCCATGTCTGAAGCCATCCACTAGCAAAGAACATTCTACATGAAAGGAAGAGCTCCTTGTGGATTTAGAGTCAGGGCTCTCACCTTTGACAAATGTATTCTTTGTTCTCAGGCTTCCTTGGAAAACCACCTATAACTATTTGAAGGTGCAAACTTTGGGTGAAAGGTCAGTTCAAATTTGGAAAACACAAATGGTCTTTTAAACCATTTGCATATCCAAAAAAGACACAGAATCCAGAACTGGGCAAACAAAGCTGCTCAGAGTGGTTTTTCTGTTTGGAGGTCTCTTTTTTTTCTCTGTGCCATTCTTTGCCCCACCTCTGGTTCATCACAACTTGGAGACCCTTGACTTTTATTTAGGTCCCTCATTTTCTCTCCCTGGGACATTTTCTTTACTGGTCATTTAGATCAAGACATTTCTACTTTTTATCTAAACATTTATTCTTGAGTTTAAAACTCAAAGCTGGGGCTGGAGAGATGGCTCAGTGGTTAAGAGCATCAGCTGCTCTTGCAGGGGACCCGGGTTTGATTCCCACCACTCATGTGGTGGCTAACAACCATCCGTAACTCCAGTTTCAGGGGAATCCGACCCCACCTTCTGACTGTGGGCATTGCATGATACGGATGCATTTACACACATGCAGGCAATACACTCATACACATAAAATAAAAATAATAATTTTTTTTTTACTCAAAGCTACTATAATCTCTGCACTCAGGTGGCGGAGGTAGGAGGATTGAAAGTTCAAGTGTGGGCTACAAAGTAAGAGCTTGTCTTAAACAAAACATGGGCTAGTGAGATGGCTCAGCAGGTAAAGGCGCTTGCCATACAAGTCTGACAACCTGAGCTTGATTCCTAGAACTTATGTAAAGGTAGGAGAGCATCAACTCACACACAGAATAAATTTTAAAGTTAAAAATATCAAAAAACTCAGCTATGGGGTGTGACCTCACTGGCAACTTCTTCATATGCTTTGTTCAAATGCTTCTTTCCCAGTGTGATCTTCCTTGATCATGTAGACTAGGTTGGGTTGAGGACCCAGCCAAGATTTTCATTTGTTCATTCAATAAGCATGTTCTGCATTGAGTGTGTACAGTATAGGTACTGTTCTAAATGCCGGGACTCTGGTGGAATAAAATAAAGTCCCCATCTTCATGGTATTTAGACTCTAATGCTGAGACAACAGAAAACACACAAGACTACATTTTTTTTGGGGGGGGGCGTCTTTTTGAGACGGGGTCTCCCTGTAGCCCCAGCTGTCCTGGAACTCACTATGTAGACCAGGCTGGCCTTGAACTCACAGAGATCCACCTGCCTCTGCCTCCTGAGTGCTGGGATTAAAGGCGTGTACCACCACACCTGGCAAGACTATATTTTAAGATCTAGTAGTAAGCACTAAACAGTAGAGGTAAAATAGGGAAACATTTGGGAGATGGTGTCTGAAATGGGGTAATCAAGGAAGGCTTCACAAAGGAGGTGACGTTTGAATAGAGGTTTAAATGAAATGAGAGGTGAGTCTTACAAAAGACTGGAGAGAAGTGGAAACCATAGCAAATGCTTGGGTGACAGTTTTCCCCCAGGAGCTTTTCATCACTAAATTCACTGGGGATTGGTAGCAACTGGCTCAAACACATAAGGAATGGATGAATGAATAGTAATTTCTTTCAATCCCTTTAATATGCACTTTTATGTTCATTACTCTTTTTATCTGGAATATCCTTTTTGTTGCCTACCCAAGTGCTTTCTTTCCTTTCCCTTTTCCCCCCTCCTTTTGGCAGGGTTTTGCTATGTAGACCAGGCTGGCTTCAAATTCATAGTCCTACTGCCTCAGCCCCCCTCATGTGCAGATTATAGACATATGCCATCATGCTCAGTTCAACTAGGGTATTTGAAGAAAGGGAGGCAAATAGAGGGCAACCTGGTCTGACCGCATAGCAAGACCCTATCTCAAACAGCATAGCTGGGCATGGTGGTGGTACTTGCCTGCAATCCTAGCACTTGGGATGTGGAGATGGGAGGATCACTACTAATTTGAGGCCAATTTGAGCTATATAGTGAGTTTGAGGGAGGTCTGGGTTACATAGTAAGACCCTGCCTTTAAAAACCATAAGTGAAAGAACCTCCAGTTCACTGACTATTGAGCTTTGCTTGCTTGATCCTCTGGCTTTGGCTCAAAGGACAACAGCATGTGTGAAATACCACACAAAGGTTCCGTAGCTGCCCTTCTGAGAGTGATTTAGTGAGAGAACCCTTGGTCAGGCTCTTCAGGAGATGAACATTCCAACAAAGCACACCAGGTCACCAGTATACACAGTACAGCCTCTGTGTGCTAGGAAACAGTATGATCATACTACTGTATCAAGCTCAGACTGCTCTCTCTCCCAGAGAGGGGGGAAGGGCAGTTTGCCCATTCCAGCTGCCCCATTCTGGCACTCAAAAGCAGATTCATATGGCATCCGATTCATAGGACTCAGGCTGGAGGCGTGTTTGTTCTGTATGTCTGCCAGCAGCTGCCACTCTCCAACTCCTGTGACAACAGCCTTGATTACATGTATTTTGTAAATTATAGTTCTGCTTGCATTTCACCGCTAAACAGTCACAGAATACTCTGTTGCCCTTGTTCTGCCACAAGTGATAGCCACACAGGCACTTCTGTATCTACCACAGATAGTAAATATGCTCAGAAGCCAAGTTAGATACTCACCAGACTTATACACATTTCATTTTTATTACCAATCAAAAATAAATTCCATATATTGTTTAGCAAATATTATCATTGTTTTGTGACAAAAGACACAAGAGTCATAACAACAAAACTCCCCGAGAGTCAAACTCAACAATGCCAAAATAAATCACAAAAATATACAAATTAAAATTTTAATGCAAAATAAATAGGAGTTGTTTGCTACGGTGGCTGTGACTTGCCAACCCACTTGGATGCCATCTGCGAAAGTCTCCTTTACCTGGGAAGACATGCAGACCAAGCCAGTTCCAGGGTATGGCTCAGCCCAGGAACCAGAGGTTGGAAGAGGAAGTGAAAAATTGTACTGGGAGGAGGAAGTCATCGGACCAGTAATATTCAGAAATAATTATGACCCTCTGCAAGAAGTGATTATAAATGAGGGGTGGGGAGAGGGACTGTCTGTTGGTGTAACTGTGTATGCAGAGAGGTAGCTGTGGAAGTGTGTGCACTTGCTCCTTTTGCTTCACACCCACCACGGAGTCCCAGGCAATGTGTTTTGCTCCATCTGGCACTCGGGTCTCTCAGGGACACAGTTAAGCCAGTTCCTATAGGGAACTGGGAATATACTGCACTGACAGAAGCTAAGGGTTTCTTAAGGAATCAAAGGTCTGGTAGCTTTTTTTCCTTATGGTTGAAAACCATCTTCTTCTCCCGGCTTCTAAGGGTAAATTCTGTAAGTGGGGGAAACCTCAGACTGGCCAGGGATACAAGACATCCCCTGGTCCCAGGGGTTAGGATTCTCTGGGTACCTAGAGAGCTCAGTACTTGGGATGACAAGACACCCCCTGGCTGAGGAAAGGAGTGAATAAATACCATACAAACAGAAGGCCTGCAGTCCCCCTTGCCTGGATCTTGCACCCCAGCTCCTATTCTTCCCAACAGAAGGTGGACATGGCCCTTGTTCTCACACTCTCCCCACCGTAGAAGTGTGAGTTCTGTACCATGGCCTGATTCTACCGAGGTTCCCAAGGGTAGTACTGGGGCAGGATTTCACATAGGGTACAGCTCTCAGTAGTACCAACAGCTCCAGCCAAGGCTGTTTTCTCTGTCCTCTCACTAGGGTCACCCCTAAGCATGGGGAACTGAGCTATCCACTGCATGCTGTTAGGTGGAACCCTTCTTTCTTGAGTTCCTTAAGTGAGCAAATGAGGTCAGGTGAGCCTTGGCCAGCTACAGAGGAAAGGACATAATGACCCTGCTTGGGTGGCCTCCAACATGTCCTATCCCTAGTCCCTAGAAGGAGGCGTAGAGAGAGGAAGAACAGGGAGTTGGGGAAGAAGTCTTTGGGTGAACCACTGAGCCTTGACTCTTCTCGTAGGTGTGGGTGGGCAGCAGTAACTGCTAACACAGATACATGGGGGTCAGATTCACCCCTTGAACCAAAGGAATACTCCAGATAAGTCACCTCTAATGGAGATGCCCTCCCCATGGAGAGGAAACCTTTGGTAAAAGTGAGGGCAGGGCCAAGGAAGCAAGTAAGTAATTGTAGAACCAAAGACCCTGCCTAACACTCAAAGCCAGCCCCATTACAGGGGAGAATTGTCCAAGGGATATATGAGAGGCGGGGGGACAGGTCCTCAGCGAACCCCAACTCACCAGTAGAACCCATGGACTTCTAGGAGATCACTGGATCCAGCAGTTGACAAGTGTAGATGTGTTTCTCTCTGTCGTTGGAGTCATGATGTCCCTGATCACAGTTACCCAGCTGCATTCAGCCTTAGTGACCTCAGAGCATGTGTCCTAGCAGCTGATGTCAGTCAGTATCATTTGGTTTCTGCTTCCTGGGAAGCACTGTCTTCCTCCCAAGGGTCATTCCTCCTCCTGTGGGCTCCAGGCCCCCACGGATGCAGAAGAGTGGCTCCCAGGGTGGCAGACACAGGTGGAAACTTCTCAGCTGAGTACAGATTATGGCTATTGTTTCCCAGGATAAGGAACCCTCCCCCCCTTTTAAAGTTTTTTGTTGTTTTTGTTTTTTTGAAAAAAGAAATTTTTTTTTTTACATAAGTTCCTTAACCCTGTCTTCCCTTCCCAGAGAGGAGCAATGAGCCTAGCTTAAAATTTTTCTCAGTAAAAAAAACAAAACAAAACAAAACAAAAAACAGCCTTTGCTCACCAGCTGGCCTGCTGCCCTTCTGAACCAGGGCGGGACAGGCACCACATCAGAGCTGTTCAGAGGTCCCCATCTGCAGCCAGATTCCCCCCAGGGTGGGGCTGCCTGGCTGCTCAGTCATGCAGGATATCTACCTGCACCCCTTCTGGCCTAACAGGCTTCCTGACTTCATGTGGGCCCACTGGGGAGGCCCCCACAGGGTAGGTGGGGGTCCCCGGGCCCTCCTGTCAGATGGCACCCTCATGGGAAGCTTTGTGTAGCAAGGAGTTGCGCTCATTGAGAAGAGTCGTGGTCTCATCCACTACAGGCAGCTCAGACTTCTCTGTAAACTTCTCTGAGCAGGTAGCACAGCCTTCCAAGGGGAGCTGAGGGCTGTTCTCCATGCGGGAGGCCAGCAGCCCATTCTGGTACTGCTGCCTTGTGATCTGCAAAGGGAAGAAAACAGAAAGGGAGGGAAGGAGTGTGAGATGCAGGAGCTGAGATGTGAGGAGCCAACCAGCCTGGACCAGGAAAGACCTCCCAAAAGAGTGAAGAGAAAGAGCTGAAAGAAAACGTGTCCTAGGGGGCAGCAAGATGGCAACACAAGCCTGGGGACCTGAGTCCAATCCCCAGAAGCCATGTAAAAGTGATGAAGAAAACTAACTTCACAAAGTTCTCCTTTGATCTCCACATACATGCATCATGCACAAATGCATATACATATAATAATAATAATAATAATAATAATAATAATAATAATAATAACAATAATAATGTGTCCCGGGCCAAGCATGATAAAGTATGTCTTTAATCATAGCACTCAGAAGGCTACAGCAGAAAGTTTTCAGAGTCAGACCTTGTCTCGAAAAAGTCTATCCAGGGGCTGGAGAGGTTGCTCAGCAGTTAGGATTACTAGCAGCTCTTCCAGAGGACCTGAGTTTAGTTCCTAGCACCCACATGACAGTTAACAACTGTCCTTAACGCCAGTTTCATGGGATCTGACATCCTTCTTCTGGCCTCTGAAGGCACTGCATAATATGGGTGCACTTACATACAGGCAGGCAAAACACACAAAAAAATAAAAATAATATTTTAAAAAAATCCTCCCAAAACTAAACAACAAAAGAGGGACTGGGAATATATAATATATAGCCAAGTAGTAGAGTATTGGCTGACCAGGTATGAGACTCTGGATTTGCTCTAAATTTTTAAAAAATTAAAAAAGCAACAGCAAAAGTACACAGGTTGCTTTAGTGGAGGAAGAAAGGACGTGCTGGCCCCAGAACAGAGCAATCTACATGCCCAGGACAGTGGTAGTGGTAGACTGTGGGAGGCACTCACCTTAATGTACTGCAAGTCCATAAGCGCCCGGACACTGAAGTCAGAGATGTACTGGCCTAGAATGCAGCTGCTGAACTGGTTGCTACTGCCTGCCAGGGAGGATGTGGTCGCCAAGTCTGTATTGCGGTCCGGGTAACTGAGGGAGGCTGAGCGGCTGAGTGGGGTGGGGAGGGATGGGGAGCGGTCTGTGGGGACAGTAGACAGTCAGTCCAGAGGCTGCCCTGGAGCCTACTCCAGCACCTTGCCTGACCTCAGCTCACAGATGATAAGGATGCCTACCATGAAATAGGTCATAGTTCTCAGGGACAAACAGAAGCACACAGAAGTTCTAACTGAACAGGGTCTGACCTCCTAAAAGCCAGTGAATTAGTGTGTTTAGAAGTAATAAGTGTTAAGAATGATACCAAACAATCAGAAAATAAAAACAAAGACAATGTTTATAGTTGCGAAACCCCTCATTTAACTTCAACAACTCATTAGTCAAGCACAACACAATGATTATCCTCACATGACAGAAAAGCTACTGTCTTGGACTAATGCTAATTTGTCAAGTGACCTAAACTATTCTTTTTGAAAAAATTTATTTATTTTTATTTTATGTGTATGAGTATATTGTGTGCATGCATGTAAGTGCACCCCTGTCATGCAGTGCCCACAGAGGACAGAAGAGGGTATTAGATCCCCTGAAACTGGAGTTATGGATAGTCATTAGCCACCATGTGGATGCTGGGACGTGAACCCATGTGGTCTGTAAGAACAGTTGGTGCTCTTAACCACTGAGCCATCTCTCTCCAGCCCTTCCCTAAACTATTCTTTAAAAAATTTAGAAGGAGCTGGGCGTGGTGGCACACGCCTTTAATCCCAGCACTTGGAGGCAGAGGCAGGCATATCTCGGTGAGTTCAAGGCCAGCCTGGGCTACATAGTGAGTTCCAGGACAGCTGGACCTACAGGGAGACCCTGTCTCAAAAAGACCAAAAATAAAATTATTATTGGGGGCTGGAAAAATGACGTATGGCTCACGGATTAAGAGTACTCTACAAAATCATAAGGACTGGAGATCTGTTCCTAGCATCCACACAAGCCAGGTGTCCCACAAACACCTGTAACTCCAAATCTGAGCCATCTCTCCAGACCTCAGACACATACATTTAAATATATATATTTTAATATTTTATTTATTTTTATTTTTTATGTGTATGAATGTATTGCCTATATGTAAGTGAGTGCACCCACGTCGTGCAATGCCGTGGAGGTAAGAAGAGGGTTTCAGATTCCCCTGGAACTGAAGTTAAGGATGGTTTGTAGCCACCATGTGGGTGCTGGGAATTGAACCCAGGTCTTCTGCAAGATCAGTCAGTGCTCTCTTAAGCTGGGCCATCTCTCCAGCCCCCAGACACATACATTTTAAAAAAATATTTTTTAAAAACTTTTTTGAGGCAAGGTCTCACTATGCAGAACAGGCTCAAATTCACAATCCTCCTACCTACCACGTGCTAGGATTATAGGCATGGAGCACCATTAACTGGCTTTAAATTGTATATTTTAACACAAAATATATGTAGTAAAAGGAAGAGCATACATACAGGCTGAGCTGGGTAGCACGTGCCTGTAATCCCAGAACTGAGGACGCTAAGGCAAAAAAGGATAATGAATTTGAGGCCAGCCTGGGTTATGTAGTGAGATACTGTCTCAAGGGAGGAAAAAAGGTAGGAAGGACACAGAGTTTGCATTCTCACTGTGAATCCCAACCCCAGCACCATGATGCCTGTCATCCTACAATGCTCTTAGGAGGACCAAAGGTATGCTCTGTGTGTGATCCAGAGTGTTACACTCAGTCCTGCCAACTGTCTGCCCCTCTTGCCAACCTGGCAGAGGCAGGAGGCAACTTCTCACAGAAAGCCAGAGGTTATAGGTTAAGTGGAGCAGCCTCTCCTTGCCACCAGAGGCAGCACAGACCTCCCTAGCAGGATGGTACAGTGACTCAAACACAAAGGAGGAAGGAAAAAAGGAACGAGGCACTATGTTATTGCCCACCCTTGGCTCTTAATCTTGAGAACACTTGGTAAACAATGAATTAAATACACAAAGTTAACTGTAAAGAGTGAGGGGCTTGTTTTAAGTAAACAGGAAGTGGACTGAGCTGATCTGCTTTAGGTAACTATGAAGTTACTAACCAGTAAGTTAGTAATGAGACTGCAGTGAAGACAGCAAGCATGCTGGACCCAGTGACTCAAGAGACTAATACAGGCTTTAACCAAGTGAGACAGTACTAAGACACTGTCCCAATGCCTAAAACTAGGAAAATACAGTCTCACTATTCTATGATTGGGTAGTGGCCCCACAGCTAGAACAGGAAGCAGATGATCACTAGAGGCCACTGCAAATAGCTAACGTAAGTGGAAACTCTGATTAAGTTCTAGAAAAAAACCAAAAGCAAACAGAAATACTGGGTTATTACTTCATATTTCACATTAAGGGCCAGAGAAATGGCTCAGTGGGTAAAGGTACTTGCTGCCAAGCCTGATTACCTGAGTTCAATCACCTCAAACTACATAGTGGAAGGAGATAAATGATTCCCACAAGTTGTCCTCTGACCTCTGTCCTATTCCTTCAAGTTGTGACATGTACAAATACATATGTACTATAATAATTAACCATTTTTTCACATTATTTGAACAACAAAATGTTTATTAGTTAATGCTTACTAACACTAAAGGAATTTATTTGTTTGTTTGTTGTGGTACTGGGGATCAAATCCAGGACCTGGGGCAAACCCAAGGCCTGGAGCATGTTAGGTAAGGGTTCTATCATTGAGTTGTCCCAGAAACTGAATTTAAAACCCAGTCCTGTAGGGCATGCATGACCAGCCTGGGGTACATGGTAAGTTCCAAGCCACTCTAGCTAACAGAGTAAGAAAATGATGGGGGAAAAAAAATCTCTCTCTCTCTCTCTCTCTCTCTCTCTCTCTCTCTCTCTCTCTAGCTCTCCTATGAATCTATAGAAGCCGCTGTACAATTGCATATCTAAGAGTCAGGGTCTATATCCTCATAGATTATGTTCTTATATATCTTTCTATCTATCTATCTACCTATCTATCTTCTATCTCTCTCTATCTATCTTCTTTCTATATATCCTCTATCTATCTATCTATCTATCT